AGATCCCTTCCAACCCTATAATTCTATGATTCTGTGTCCAGAGAAGCATACTGTTGTTCAAGCCAAGCCAAGTCCACATCCCCTTCACTCATTCAGCTGAAAACCTGAGAAAGGTCAGAGCAGGTGCTTTAATCTGTATGGTTTAAATGCTTACTAGATTTATATATGGCCTTGCCTATCTTAACATGAAGGTGGCTTTAGCCACCCATATCAGGAAACTTATAATCTGTTGTTCTTAGTGCTGGTCATGAGCATAAGTAGGTATTTTGAAACAATGTAATGGCCATAAATATTTGCAGTATTTTTAATGTATGCTGTTATATTACTGAAAGCATTTAATTCCCAATTTAATAAAGAGGAATATGTGTGGAAAACTTATTGAAGTTTTTAAAATATAGCATTCTTCTTGTTCAGTTCTACATCCACAGTTATTAAAGGTGGAACTGTAAAAAGCATTACAGGTAGTCCTCACTTAACAACCATTCATTTAGTGACCATTCAAAATTACAGTGGTGCTGAACAAAGGGACTTACAACCAGTCCTCACCCTTACAACTGTTGTAGTACCCCCACAGTTACATGATCATGATCTGGGCCCTTGGCAACCAGCTTGCACTTACAACAGTTGCAGTGCCCTGGAGACCTGATTGCCATTTACGACCTTCCCAGCTGGCTTCCCAGCTGGCTTCCGGCAAGCAAAATCAATGGGGAACCACATGGTTCACTTAATGACCACATGATTTGGTTAACAACCATTGCAAAAAAGGTCATAAGATCGGGCGTGACTCGCTTAACAACTGCCCTGCTTAACAATGAATCTTCTGGTCCCTGTTGTGGTCATTAAGCGAGGACTACCTGTATATAATATTAGGAAGTATTTAGAAGGAAGGTGTCCAAAATGTTTTATATTTTTTTTACATTTAGAAAGTTGCATAGAAGTTTTAAGAAATATAACTTTATGATTTCAATACCCACAAAAGACACAGTATGGTATACTGACGAAGGTGTTGGAATAGCACTGGGGAGACCCAAATTCTTGTCACCATCAACCATGTAATCTCACCTGGTGACCTCAGACCAACAACTTTTAACACAAGGTGACTGTTGATGGAGGGAGGGAGCACAATGTAGGCTGCCTTGAGTTCCTGTATGTAAAGCAAATAAATAAAAAAAAATACAATTGCAGCACTAAATGTTTATTCTTTTATAATAATATAGTGTATGTTAATTTTTCTGATTTTAAACCAGATTTAAAAGTTAAATATATGGGGTTATTCTATGAGAGAGATAGAGTGTGTGTGTGTGTGTGTGTGGAAATTGGGTGTAGTACAATGTTGCCAAAATATGCAATAAAGATTGCAAGATACCTTGGCTGGGCAGTGTTGGTTTGTATTCCATCATTTGCTTTCCCTTATGTTTCTGTACAGAGACATTTGTCAAATTTGAATGTGAGAATTTATTTCTCATTTTGTAATCTGTACACTTAGTTAATCCTTTGAAATTCCTACCTCTCCAAATCAACAAAATTTACTAATAAAATAAGCATATAATGGAGAAAATTCTGCACAACACTGCATCTAAAATTAAAGAACAAGAAGTTAATTTTTATTAGGGGAAAATGGTTGCAAAAATAGTGTATATTAAACCAAAGTGGAAATCAAAATACATATATTTGGAGAGATATACACAAAAATACAATTATAAAGAAAAATAATAGTTGGATTCAAAAAAGAAATAAATGAATTGTGAGAAACTGAAACAGACAGCTTTGCAAAAAATGAGAAACTAAAGACATTGAAATGCAGTCATCTTTACTGTGTATCTTCTGACAGAAAGAACGTTGGGTGGCATGGATTTATACAGTAATATAGTTTACTAGTGAATTAGTTCTCCATTTTCTGTCTGCCATAATAGTCTCTCTACCATTTCTTTTCCCTTTTCTCCTACAAAGTATAGCTTGATAAACCTGACTGTATAACTGGCAGGAGGTGGGGAGAGATGGTATTTGTTCTGCTGACACCTTACATTTGTGTTACACTTATATACATGGCATGTTGTCATTTGAAGAGACTAAAATTGAATTCCTAGGATTCCCTCGTTTTGGCACATGTCCTTTCCCCCTACATCTCCATATTTCTTGAACTAGCTGGGATGGCAGGTAAATGTGTGAACAACAACCCATATGATGTAAGATCTTTCAGCAGGCCCTGAGGTAGGACGATGGATGACCCCACTTGAAACATTGATCTGGCAGCGATTGACCAATGCATGTAAGTGCCATTGCTGCTGTGCTCCCTGATGTGGGTTTTCATTCTATTATTGTTTCTCTTCTTTCTTTGTTGAGTGTTTTAAACTGATTTCATTATATTGTTGTGCATCTCTTTGAGTTGCTGTGGTGACTGAGGCGGTTTATAAAACAAACGACAAAATAAAGATCACATACAGTGAAGCATAGGAAGCGATTATTGTTTTGAGCAGTAAAGTACACCTCATGCCAAAGAACTGATGCTGTCTGGGCGTGGGGTCAAAGAACTTTGAAGCAGGATGCATAGACTGACAGAGTCATCAGACAAGAGGTACCTCCAAGACCCATCTGCAGTAGGGCCATATCCCGCACTGCCCTAACAAACAAATTTCTCTGCGTTCTGAGAAAAGCACCACAACGTTCTATCAGAAAATCAGCCTAGGAAGAGTGAGACCACTCTTGGCATTTATGATTGACAGAGGATAGAGAATACAGAAGTGCAAAATATTTTGACATTGAAGCATTCTGACCTTGAACCAGTTGTTCTAAGCCTTCCAGGCCTGAAAGAAAACTTGGCAGTGTCCTTTTGAATGATCTGACTGTTCTGAGAACAGCAATTATGTTTTTGTTGTGTGGGTTGTGACTGGCTTGCTTTTTAAAAAAAAAAATGTTTATAGTTTTGCTAGTATAGCAATTCAAATTAGTCATACCTTTATTGCTACTATGACTAGATGGAATAATGTTGGGGGGCGTGGAATAGAATTTTGAGAGGAAAGAAGCAATTAAGAACATAGCCAGATAGGAAGACTGCTCAGAGTTGTATGCCTGCCAGCCTTCCTGGTGATTTATTGCTGATTTTTTAAATCTTTGCTGTGGAAAGTCAACATCCATAAGAGAGGTGGTGGAGTATATGAATCTTGTGCGGTACTTTATTTTGTAGGCAGGTCAAACATGTTGCACATTTCCATGGTGTCCATACAGGTTCTATAAATATAAAGATCTGCCCCACATTTACTTGATTTTGATTTATTAAGCTTTTGTACTGGTATGTCTGTATGAGCTCTGTGCACATACTTGTGTCCTATTCATATTGAGCTTTGGGGTATATTCAAAATGCAAAAATTCTATCTTGGCTTAAGGTGGTTTGTCAAGATTCAGTCCAGGTGCATTCTGTGCATGCCCTTGTGTTTTCAAGTCATTGTGCAATTTAGAAGCAAAAACAGTCCTTTTTTCTTGCACCCAGCAGCAACCAGTATTTACAAGCAAAAAAATCAGCTTTTTCTGGGCTTATATCTGGCAGGTAGTTTGCAAACAAAAAAACAAAAGAAAACACCCCATGAAATCTGTAGCATAATCTTACTTCAAGTGGGATGCCAATGCCCATTAAAAAATTGGCCAAGGAGATTATATTATTCCAAAAATTAGAACATCAGAATAAAAGAATGAAGGATTTGGAAAGATGTACAATAATCAGGCTGTGCTATGCTTGGTGAAAGGAGTATTAGATTGATTAAGATTCTCTTTGTCCCATAATTTGTTGGCTGAGCACCTAAAGGGTTTATTTTTCCTGCAGAGGTTTGTTTTAATGCTTTAAAAAAGTTTTTAAAATCATCACCAGCCAAGTTTTTTTGCAGATTGGTTGTAAGCAGCATTTGGCATGGACTGCAACCTTTAACTAATCTTGTGATCCTGTGGTGAGAAACAAGAGAGAAGCAGCTGTTGAAGGTTTTTCAAGTTTTGTTCTGTTGGAACCTGGCCAACTTTGTTCTGAGCTTGAAACAAAACACATTTTCATTTTGCGCACACCCCAGTGGAGATGCAAAGAACATTTTCTGCTCTACTACCCACAATTCCACATGTTCAAGGCCACTCACACACACTGTGAAAAGAATAGGTAGTCAGGCTGGATTAGAGAATCAACCATTGCCAATCCTTCTGGCTGTATATTATCTTCAGTATCAAAAACAATTATGTGTCTTAATGCTGGTTATGGGGAAATGTAGGTGAAAGTCTGCTGTTTGCACCCATGTTCTGTTTGTGAGTCTGCTTCAGCATCTGGCTGGCCTTGACAGGACTCCAGAACACCACAATAAATGGTTTTTGGCCTGATTGAGTGGGGCTTTTACATTCGTCTCATGAGCACCAAGATGTCTGAAAATTGCATGGCTTGCGTAGATAACAAGCAAAGCTCTTGAAAGGGAAGCAGATGCACTGCGCCCTGAAAGCAACAGATCTGACCAGAATAGGACTTCCTGAGCGCAGAGCCACCAAAGGTGACCACAGAGCCCACTTTCTTATTTAAGTTTTTAATCAGGAAATTCGAGGTGATGGGACCAAGAATTGTGTGGCTGAGATACTTATAAAGATATTTTCAAAATTACTGTTTGGGTTGGTTTAGACAGACACATCACGATACCCAAGTGTAGGAACATACTTCAAAACTCTAGTCATCTGTGATCTTCTCAGATTGGAGATTGTACACAGAAAGGATGTGGTCAACAGGTATTTGCAAATAATGTGGTTCAAAATCACAAAAGCAAATAATTTCTGTGTTAAAATGCTGCCCTGATGTTATGCTCAAAGTGGTAATGGGTAATTCTTCATTGGCTTGGTGTCCGTATGTCTCCTTGTGGATGTAAGTACATACGATAAAGCAAGATAGCTTTAACAATGTGTGTCAAAGGCAAATGTGAATGCAACCTATCACCCACCAGACTAAAAGCAGTTAATTAAATAGGCATAATAGATCACTGTACCAGGGACACTTGGTGTTGCTATCAGCCCAGGACTGAAAATTGGAGAAGAGGGGTCTATTCAGCAGGCCAAGGTGTATTGCTAATGTATAGCATAATTGATAAGTCACAATTGTATTGTGTTATAGACTAGTGAATCACAAATGCCTATTGAACTGTAATTGTAAGGGTCTCACTTATTACCAATCTTTTGACAAGGCCGAAAGAAGAAAAATGATTTCCCCTTTCTGATTAAAAAACAAGAACATTTTAAGCCCAGCCAATCTGAAGATGCCTAGGCCTCCTTAGGCATGATACTAAATCATAACCCCCAAGACACAAAGATACACTAAAATTCTCTTTTAAAATGTATTTGATTTATAAGAAACAACACCAAAGTCAGTATTTGGCATAGATGAAAAAAAATTAGGATTCAATGAGTATGTGTAAACAAATGAACAAAGGGCAAGCCCATCTAAAATGAAGATAGACCCTCAAAGAAAATAGTTTATAAGGAATTAGGGAATACCTTGAGCATATCCAGAATAAAATAAAAAAGTAAGCAACTGCACTTTTGATTATTTAGTGCATATAGAAGCCATGGGGCATTGAATTTCCTTCCTGAATCCTGGAAGATCTTACTCTGTCTTGGAATGGGCTCAGGGTCTATACTTTCCTCACCAGGAAGATTCTGAGAACAAAAGGCTTGAGCAAATTCTTCCCTAACTATTTAACTTCAAGTGAGCAGAGGTTGTATTTGCTTAGGTATTTAGCCACTTGTCCTCCCTGGCTTCCCTACCAGAGACAGAAAGTATTAGGTTATTATAAGTCAAATAGGTATTTTGTACTGGCATTGTAAAAAACTTGAAGACTCTCTAGTTCATATGATGTAGATATGTCCACCTGTAGCTTTTTTTTTTTTTTTTTTGCTTTCAAATCCTTCCTATATCAGTAGATTTTGGGGAAGAAATATTATGGTTAAAGACCATAATGGGATGATGAACTATATTCTTAAAATATGGAATTTATCATCTCATAAAGACCTTTGACTCCATTGAGCCAAGGACAAAGCAAAGAGGATAATTTTACATACTGTAAATAGAAAGGATTCCTGATTTTAAGGAATGGATCCAGGATATGTCTGTTATCTATCTTTAAAAAGTCTTTGTGTTCTAATAATGAAAAGATGAAGGAATATGTTTCTACACGGTCTACCATTAATAATAAGCTTTACAATTTAATTGGTTTTATATTGCTATCAATAGTTATTATCTGGATCTTTTCTTTTTGGTTCATTTTCTTTTCTTTTTGGTCACATTTAGTTTATTTTTATCATCATAATATATCTAGTAATTTATCTATTTTTTTTTCTTCCTGCCATATAACCACAAATCATTTTTTCCTGTTGGTGTTGTGTGGATTTTGTTGTTGATGATGTTTGTTTTGTTTTATATTTACTATTAAAAACAATATGTATATTTATGGAAAGAGAACATACACAAATCAACTGTGTATGGGTATTGTGATCTAAAGGAGCCACTGGAGCTTCCCTTGCCAGAGGGGCCCATTCCTGTCATGTTTGTTCCTCAACAACCTTTCTTCCAATATTATTATATCCATTAAGACCATATGTAAGTGTTGTGCTATTCAGCATCACCAGTCATGGCAGCACTTTTTCTCATGATGCCCTCTCCTTCTGACTGCAGCTTCCCAAATCTGCAAAACAAAAGAAACAATCAAAGGTGAGGACAATGTGACAGGTGGCTGTAAATCTAACCTGATTTTGAACTTGCAGCAATCTTGTGGTGGTGTTGTATTCAAAGCCATTTTTTTCTTCCTGCCAGGCTTCCCAAAGCTTTAACAGCTATGTGAAAGGCAGCACCCCCTCCCCTATGACTGATATCTCTGACTTCCTTTCTTTGCTGAACTGTGTCTTCAGGGCAGAAGAGCAGTTTTGATCCCAAGAGGGCACATTGTGTAGCTGTTTTGGCACTGCAGCTGCATGATAGGGAAGGAAAACTTTTCAGAATTGCATGAGAAAAAAGAATTTCAGCATATGCAGCTCATTCTATCATGCTACTATGAGGAACATTTTGAGATAAGCCTGCTATAAATCCTCCAGCATATAAAGAGACTCTAGAGATCGATGCTTATGATCCAAAGAAGCAAGTAAAATTGATGAAGAAAGTGTCATATTCTAGCAGGCAGTTTACATCTCTGACCTTTCTGCCCTCATGGTGAGGGAAGAGGAAGAGGAACTCAATTCTTTCTGTAGGAAACAGACAGAAAGGGGAGGGCTAAGAGTATCAGTCTTCCAATCAGGAAAAAGCAAATGCAGGAATGAAGAGAAAATACATTGCCTGCTATCTTATTGCTAATGCCCCTACTAAGCAAAAGTGTAAACAATAGATGTTTCAGAAGCCACATCTCTACCAGTGTTGCAAAGGTAGGAAAGCTGGATACTGAGAATTTTCTTTTTTCTTTTCTTTTCTTTTTATACAATGCTTATCCTCTGAGATAGACAGCACCCCCAAGAAATCCATTTTCAGGTTATTTCTTCTATTTCCCTCCAAAATTGTATCTCACACCCACTAGAATAAAATGAAACTCAACAGACCTGTTTAAAGAGAGTCATTCTCTTAAAAGTAATGTTCTGTTTCCTGTGACATTTATGACAGTTTTGTGGTTATGTGACATTTGGTTGGCTTCACCTTCAGCCACTAATGCAATGTGAATTCATGAGTCTTTGTGATGAAGCTGAAGCTAGGAAAAAATGTTGAATAGTGTAGAAAACTGCCCCCCCCCCAAAGTATATTTCTCATACATGTCACATTCTTACAGCAGAAAGCATCAAAGTTGCACTCACTGTTCACTGCAGAAATCTGTCTTGGGACTATCATGGATGAAACTAGTATTTTTCAGAAAGTCTTCCATTCACAATGGGAATGTCCTCTTTTTCCTAAACACTCTGAAAAGAAAGTAACAAAACTCTTTGGAGCACATTTTGAGGGCATGCAGGGACTGCAGTGGAAAGAGGAATCGTTCTTCCCTGTTCCACTGATGGAAGTTAAATGTTAAGTACCCTTTAACTGGCACGTAGTAGGCTTTATTGATTCAGGATCGCAGATTACATGGGGACTGAGGATGCATTTGCATGTAATGTTTATATGTTACTTACTTCTTGCAGAAATCATAAGTGTGGAACTGTCCTTGCATTTTAATTGTCTACATCCATATGTGAACACGTCCCCTAGTTAATATTTATCACCATTGTCTGTTTTTATTTTAAAATATTATATTTTAAATATAAAATTTCACATATTACACATATGCTCGGCCACACACTGCAGTCTATTTACAAAACTAGATGTTTTGAAAATCTGTAAGGATGTGTACCTATGGCAGCGTAAATTAGTGCAAATATACACAAATAATACAGTTTTGGTATAGCCAACTGTAAACAGGAGGAGGAGAAGGAGAAGATAATGACAAAGTTTCATCTTGTGTGTGTGTGCATGTGTTGCACATACCTGCTGATGGATAAAGTGAGAATTTTAGGTGCCAAAATACACCCTCAAAATAAGTCCATCTGTGGATAAGCCGACCCTTGAATGTTTAACGGAAATAGCATGAAAAATGTGCCACCTGTGGATAAGCCAATTGTGAAAATTAAAATATATGAACATTTTGAGGGTCAGCTTATCCAGGAGTGGGCCATTTTTCATGGTATTTGCTTAAAAATTCAAGGGTCGGTTTATCCATGGATGGGCTTATCCACAAGTATTTACAGTATATATGATCTGGTTATCAATGGGGTAAAAGAAAAATAAATTCTCTCACCACCACCTCAAGAACCAGTTCTACTTATTTTTTTTTATTTTTAACTATCAAATGTCTGTCACCCAAATATACACAAACAATAAAATAAAAAATAAACCCATCACCTAAGGGGAACTACCACCAACTCTGTTCCCACCAGTAGAGGTAAAAACAGACAAAAAGGCCCACCAAGACTGGGGGAAGAGCCATGTTTTTAATGCTCTTTTAAAGTCACGCAATGGTAATGGAGTCACACAAATCTCCAGGCATGGCTAAGAAGGCCAACAACATCCTGGGTCCTGCTAAATGACATTCTTTGATCAACTGGACCAAGAGTGAGCCAGCTCTCTCAGATCTTCCAGTTTGCCAGAAACCATAGGAAACAGACATTCCCTCAAATAACTAGGTCCTATGACATGTAGAGTTTAAAAGATGACAGTCATCACCTTGAATTGTACCCAGGACCCAATGCAATTACCAGTGAAGTTCATGAAGCATAGGTATTACATTGCTACCATGTGGCACCCCTGGCCACTCATGACCAAGGCATGAATGTCACAGGTCCAGGAAAGAATGCAACCAGCCTACAAGATAAACTTGTATGAAGGTCCTTTTCTTCATAGTTGCCATCTATTCAAGCAAGAGCTGCAGGTCCAAGAGAGCCACCAGATTACACACCAGACTAAAACAGGATAGTTTAATCCCATTCATGGGCAGAGAGAGAAGATCCCCAGCACTGGGGGCCCCAAACACTCATAGCCATTTAATCTTGGTAGAGCTGAGTCTCATCTTCTTCCCCCCTATTCAAATCCACTACAACATCACTGCAACAGCATTGCTGGAGGAGATGTATAACTGAGTATTATTAGCATACTGATGATACCTTACTCCAAACCGACTGATGACCTAACCCAATGGCCTTATATAGATGTTAAATAGGGGTGAGAGCCCTGAGCCCTGAAGCACCCTGCAATTCAGGAGCATCAGGCTTGACTTCTTTTCTTCTACCAGCTGGAACTGATCAAAGAAAAAGGAGGAGATACACTGTGCTTCCTGCTCCCACTCCCAGAAGTTGGTCCAGAAGGATATCAAGTTTGATTGCACTGAAAACCATGAGAGATCAAGGAGTACCAGGATGGTTGGGCCTCCTCCATCCTAGCTCCACACAGGTCCTCCGCAAATGTGATCAAGATTGCCTCCATATTATGCCCAGCCTAGGGTTCATCTGAAAAGGTTTCTTTTCCTCCCAAAAGTTGTTAGGTTTAGTATATTTGAGGATTTTGAGGAATAAATGTTATTAGAAGATGATTATTTGCCATTAAAAAATAAAAAATATTCCTGCTTCTAAACATAAGTCCATAGGAAGTCCAGAACTGATAGAAAATTAGTAAAAACAATAAAAAAAAGCCATCTCTGTAAGGAGGAGACTTTTATTTATGTTAATTAAATGATTAAACCAGACAGTACAGTTTTAACAAGTGGGCTGGAGATACCTATCAATTACAGAACATCAAAATATATAATAAATAAGGTTTTGGTTCTTTATAATCAAATGTGGCATAATTAACACTGAAATAGAGGTTTATAATAAATACTTTGAAGGAGACTTTACCCTTATAATTAAGAGTTAATGAACCATTTCCTATATATTCATTTAATAGATTATTATTCCTACATCTATTTATTAAGGATTAAATGTAGCACAAATGCTTAAATCTTGGTATATTAAATATATTTTTCATTCTTAAATACTTTTTAATTTGCATTAATGACTTGATTAAATCTAAATGGCATATATACCAGAGAATTAGCATTTTGTGTATGCAAAACCAGCATTTCATGTCTGGTGTATCCTTTATCTAAGGACTGCATCATATCGTGCAACTTTAAGGTATTAGCTCATATACAATACCGGTAGTCCCCAAGTTAAGAACGCCTGGTTTACAGATGACCCATAGTTAAGAACGAAGCCTACTGTAGCAAAATTTGAGTTAAATACATAATTATTTGAGTTAAATACACAATGGTTCAATTTAATTACACAATACTACTTATGCAGTATTATAAAATAATACTGTTCCGGTTTACATACAGATTCGACTTGAGGACAGACCTTGGGAACGGAACTCATTCTTAAACTGGGGACTACCTGTAGGAGTCCCAGATGCTTCCAGGTATCCCTATGGGTGTCTTTATTGCTACTCTGGTCTCTGCTGTCAGATGATTCAGCTGAACTTGACTATCATGATACTGGAACTGTTCCTAATGTGGCTTATCATTCTGAGGGCCATTCTTTCTAGTCCTGCTCTTGCAACATCTGTTGTTGGATTTCTCTTGGCCATTTGGTACATCTGGCCCACTCCAGCTTGACCCTTTCCTTGGTCTGCTCTGCTTGATCCTTCCTTGCACTTGTTGGTGATGTAGCAGACAGTACTATGGTACACCTCCTGGATCCCTTAAGCTGCCTTCTGCTGCTGCTGCCACCCAACTTCTTCAGTTCTTCCAAGGCCTCTCATATCATGCCTTCTTGGTCCTGCTGCTTCTCTCTCAGAGCCTTCTTTCTTTCTCCTGCTCTGCTGTGTTGAACTCTGCTGCTTCTTTCTCTCTTCAGCTGGGGTAGCTGTGGGTATGGTTGCTTTCTGCTGGTATGGCTGACTGTTGATGCTGGCTGGCTGTGGTTGCACTTTTCCTTACACTGGTTACTTTGCATTCCAATGTGGCAAGACTAACCACTTTTCCCTCCCTCATTCATATGTTGCCTTCCTCCAGGAGTGCTCTAGGCATCCCTTCTGCTGTTCATCCTCTGGAAGTCCTCTGTAAACAAGGTGACCCACCAGGATCTGCTTGCAGAGAGAGTCCACACAGACATGATCCAATTCTATTCATACATTTATAGTGAACTGTCACTATATAAAGCAGAAATGTGTCAAGACTTGCTAGGATTTGCCCTTCAAACTCTTCTGAGGAGGCAGGGGAATAGGATCCTATGGTAACTCATAGCACAGATAGGAATCCTGAAGTCTCACCATCTCTTGAGACAAATCCTGAGGTCTTGCCATCTCTTGAGGCTTCTAGTGCTGGGATCACTTTTTATTCTTGTTGGGGCACCAGTACCTAGCTTTGGAATGCCACCCCATTTCTTCCAGGATCATAGAAACAGTAGCAGTGGTGGATATTTAATGGAAGTTGGGCAGCAGAACATGGTGGAAGAATTTAAGGGGATGACACTGCATACATTTTCCCTCTGATTTAACAATGGGTATTTAGGCAAGAGCCTGAGAAGAGAACAAAGAGAAGTAAAAGCTCTTCTATTGGAGGTACCTTAAGTGAAAATGAATTCATCTACAGCTGTGACAATCTGACATATAATTATAGTAAAATAGCAAGCTTGTGGCAGTAAAACAAGCTTGTAGTAGGGCTTGAAGAAAATGTATAGGATTAGAACAGTGAGTAGCAGAGAGAGAACAAAGATTTATTGGACTAACAAAGAAAGTACTGTTTAATAATACAGTCACCCAATTATTGTTGAAAGCCTTAAATATAATTACTTTTATATTGGCACAACTCAGTTGAGTGAATTTAGACAATAGTATAATTGATAATGGGGATCTTGCCTACAACAGGAGCTTAAAGAGAAAGCAATTAAGGAAGAGAAGCACTAAACAATGGCAATCATAACCATAACCACTGCTCCTGGAAAGAAACTGTTCAAACCCAGGCTGAAAACAAAGACCCCTGAGCCTTCAGAGAGAGTAAAAGAGAGGAGAAAAAAGAAAAAGATACACTATTGAACTGAAGACAGGATAGTGGAACATTGAAGAATACCCTTCAGTAAAACAGTGATGGTATTTGGCAACTCACTATTATAAAGAACAGAAAACAAATGGGACCGGCTAAACCCATTAGTGCGTAAAATGTGCCGTCTAAAGGAAACATGGATTAGGTTGGTGACAGAAGAAGCTCCAAAATTTATCAAGTGCATTGACAATTTCTCCAAGGAAACATGGATTAGGTTGGTGACAGAAGAAGCTCCAAAATTTATCAAGTGCATTGACAATTTCTCCAAGGAAACATGGATTAGGTTGGTGACAGAAGAAGCTCCAAAATTTATCAAGTGCATTGACAATTTCTCCTTCCAGCTATTCCATG